CGCCGCCGTCGCTCGTCGGCTGCTGGCCACAGCGGCCCCGGGCACAGCGCCCCCACGCAGCGGGAAGAGCTGTGGCGGCCGGCCCCTGGGTTCCTCCGCCCTCGGCCCCGCCGCGCCGGCTCTGTCGAGGACGCCAGCAGTTGCAGGCAGCACCTCAGAGCTCGTCGCCTCGCCATTCCTGGGGCGAGCCGTGGCCGGGTCAGTCACTCATTGTGACCTTCGAATCTGGCAACACGGCCGGCGTCACCCTCGCGCGGGCCGCCGCTTGGCCTTTACCAAGATGGCCACCCCCGCGGCCAGGCATCGAAGCCATCTTGGTAAAGGAAGTGTCGGGGATGGAGCACAGCCCCCCTCCCGGCATGCCTTGCGACTGACACACAGGGACCCTTTTAAGACCAAGTTGGTTCTGTCCTGAAACCAGAGGCTAACTTTTAGGTTTCATGAGCCTATTCCTGGACACGAGCCACAACTGCTAAAACCAAGTGGGATCCCCTTGACCCCGTGGTGGCCTCTCATTGCCTGCTCGATCATGGCAGAGAAGCACTTACATACTTACAGTCTATGGCACCAAGACTGCAATTTGAAGTGTGTACAGTAGGTAATGAATATTAATAGCAGCATTGCCTTGACACTGTCTGTTGATTTACTTTTAAAATGATATCGCAGCCTCCTGGTAAACACAGTTCTCATCTAAATTTGCATCCTTTTTTAATCCCAGGATAGTGACAAAAGAGCTTAAATATGTGATTCTGAGTTTCTTACAGGATTTACTTTTTTAAAAAAATAATTTGCCCTTTATTATAACTGCTAGAAAGTGATAGAAGCAGCAGTTAAGCTTGAGAACCTGCACTCTTAAATTTACTCATACGTTGTTATTCATTTTTTCTTACATTATGTTCTTTCAGGATTTGCTTTTTAAAGTGCAGGATAAAATTAGTTGTTTCAAGAAGTAACTTTAGGTATAGGCAGATCGAAACTATTTAACAATGGTTGGCTGATGTATCAGTCCGTTTCTGTTGCTTATAGCAAAATACACGGAACCGGGTATTATATAAAGAAAACAAAATTTATTGCTTACAGTTTCTGAGGCTAGGAAGTCCAAAGTCCAGGGAACACAGCTGGTGAAGGCTTTCTTTGGTGGTAACTTCAGTGACAGTAGTGTATCACCTTGGAAGAATGGTGGAGGAGAGAGAGCAGAGACTAACCTCATTCACTCTTTTTAAAGCCTTCAGAAACACTCCTACAACATTAATCCATTCACTAGGGCATGAGGCATGGTCCTGCAATCTAATCATCTCTTCATGGCCCCACCTTTCAATCACCATAATATGATTTCCGACCCTCAACAATTACAGTGGAGATTAAGTTTTGGGGGGACATTCAACCCAAGCCATTTGGGCAAAAAGATTTTTCTATAAAAGTCCTCCTGCGATGTGTCCATAGGCCAGAAAGAAATAGTCTCTCCATGGGGTGGTTATCTTGGCAAAAAAGAAAAGAAACACAGGCCCTAAAGACAGATAATGACTGCCAGAAAATGCAAACCAAATTATTCTGCATTTTGAGAGTGAATGTGCCGGTGTAATCTTGCAGGAATGTAAAGAACTTTGTGTCAAGTGTGGACTTTATCTCCTCAGGCTAGCTTGTAGTTGTTGCTGAACCTTGTTTACTTAAGCGTGTTTCTAAGAGCTGCTTGCGACTGGGTGGGGCTGAGACTGCACAAGCTGAGTAATACCTGGCCTGCAACAGCAACAGCAGGAAAGTAACAGCACTACAAACCCAAAGAGAAAATCGAAGTTACTGCGAAGAAGTTCTTCATAGTGTGCTTGGCTGAGGAGCTTTGAAAAGTTGTCCTATGTTCCCCTCACTCCCATTCTTTATTATGAAAAAATTCAAAATATATAGAAAATAAATATGCATTTTGTAGTATCATTTGAATAAGTTACAGACATCAAAATACTTCACTTCTAAATAGTTCAGCCTGTCTCTCCTAATAAGACCATTCACTTCATAACCACAATGCCATTATATACCTAAGAAAATAACAATGATTCCCTGATTTCACTTAATATTCAGTCCGTATTCGAGTTTCTATGAATGTATCCAGAATGTTTTTTATAGCTGTTTTTTCCTGAACCAAGATACTAGCCAGGCTCATGTATTGCATTTATTTATTAATTTACGTAAGAAGCAATTTGAAATATTCTCTTGCTATTTTCTGTGTAGAAAGCATACAGATAGTAGGATGAGACAGATGCTCACAGGGTATTTTTCATTGACAGCAGGTGCAATGAAATAAGCACATCTCTGTGTTCTCCAGGAAAGCCTAACAGGAATGAATAGTCTTTTATACTAGACATTTATAATAGACATTACAATTGAAGCTGTATTAAGTAAATAGTAGTGTTTGCGCTTTCTTAACTCCTGGAATACCACATAAACTTTATGGATTATGTTGGAATCTCTGCTCAACACGACTTCTAAAGCGTCATTGATTGGGTCTTTTTTAGACAATGAAAAGAAGCTGTTTAGTATAACACTTTATATAATGCCAAGCAAAACCTATAGTTTGCCCTGCTTCACAGTACAGAATGAAATGAACATTGCACCCTAAGCATTTCACTAGATTTAGTTTTAGATCCTGACCTGCTGAACTGGGCTTTATTTGTCTTCCCTTTTATGTCACCCCTAGGAAGTCAGGCACTCAGCACATAATGATAACTATTTGACTTTGAAGTTGTTATTTAATTTTATCTTTTTTTTTTTTTTTTAAAGATGACCGGTAAGGGGATCTCAACCCTTAGCTTGGTTTTGTCAGCACCACGCTCAGCCAGTGAGCCAACCGGCCATCCATATATAGGATCCAAACCCATGGCCTTGGTGTTATCAGCACCGCACTCTCCCGAGTGAGCCACAGGGCTGGCCCTTAATTTTAAAATGTTAATTTATTTTGTAAAGAAGAGGGGCAAATTTACACAATTTCATACAAGTGTCTAGTGGCTAATGTAACCTTTTTTCTGGAGATTAGTATTAAATAAAGTTATTTTAATACTTCGCAAAATATTAGGTGCTACTTAAATTACTTCTGGGGAACCACATTTAAAACAATTTTAGTACAGTAGCTCTTAACTTTATTTATTTATTTATTTATTTTTGTCTTTTTTTTGTGTCCGGCAACGGGATCGCAACCCTCGGTGTCGCGCCCGCACCTCGCTCAGCCAGTGAGCGGGAACCGGTCTGTATGTGGGATCCGAACCCTTGGTGGGAGCGCCACTGCGCTCCCAAGCGGCGCACTGTAGCAGTGCGCCACCGGGCCAGCCCATAGCTCTTAACTTTAAAGCGAATTCTGTAATCAGTGCTGTCCTTTCTTCTCCTAGCTCTAGGCTTAAAAGCAGAAGACTAGGAGGACTTGTTAGTAGGGGACTTTAATTCAATCCATATTTATAGCAGCATCTGTGGAATTCAGTTAAGTACTTTGTTCTCTCCCAGTCAAGTGAAAGTTTGTTTTCTTGATCGTTAAGAATCTATAGGTAGGGCCGGCCCAGTGGCGCACTGGATAGTGCGCCGCTTGGGAAGCGCGGCGGCGCTCCCGCCCGAGGGTTCGGATCCCACATACAGACCGGTTCCCGCTCACTGGCTGAGCGAGGCGCGGGAGCAACACCGAGGGTTGCGATCCCGTTGCCGGTCCCCGGTCCAGTCCGGGGGCAACACTGAGGGTTGCGATCTGTTGCTGGACACGGAAAAAAGACAAAAGACAAAAAAAAAAAAAAAGAATCTATAGGTAATTCTAGAGTGCAGCCTTGTAACAGTAAGGTCAAGTGTTCAATTCCTCATACTAGCCAGCTGTCCCCCCAAAAAGAATCTACAGATAACTCCAAACAGCAATAGGAAGGATCTTTGGCAGCTAAATTCTAATCACTGCTGACATTAACTACCTCTTTGACCTCGGAAAACTCCTCTCCAGTCCCGTCACTACTACCTCCCGAAATGACTCTGTCTATATGTCCATTTGCAGTTTTAACATTCTGTTACTCTATACAAATGGTTTTGGGGGGGGGGGGCCGGCCCGGTGGTGCACTGCTGTAGTGCGCCGCTTGGGAAGCGCGGTGGCGCTCCCGCCGAGGGTTCGGATCCCACATGCAGACCAGTTCCCGCTCACTGGCTGAGCGAGGCGCGGGAGCAACACCGAGGGTTGTGATCCCGTTGCTGGTCCCGGTCCGGTACGGGGGCAACACTGAGGGTTGCGATCCGTTGCCGGACATGGAAAAAAAAAAAAAGACAAAAAGGAAAAAAAAAATGGTTTTGGGGGGAAATATATGAAAGCAGGGTGCTGATTACAAGGGGAGTAGGATTGTGTAGAATAGACCATGGTCAACAAACTAGGAGGGCCAAATCTGAACTGCCACCTGTCGGTTTGTTTGTTTGATTGAAACTGTTTTATAGAACAGAGTCCTCAACATTTATATTATAGCAATGCTTTTTCTTTCTTTCTTTCTTTTTTATTACCATGGCAAAAAAAAAAAAATTACCATCTTCACCATTTTTAAGTGTACAGTTCAATAGTGTTAAGTATATTCACAATGTTGTGAAGCACATCTGCAGACCTTTTTTATATTTCAAAACTGAAATTCTGTACTCATTAAATAACAACTCTGCCTTTT